ATAAAAATGGTTGCAGTTCCTAAAATGTGTACTTGATATTTATGTTCAACCCCTTGAATTAAAGCTGAAAGTCTGCACTTCAAATTAATTTAGATTGTTTTATTTTAATTTAGACTGGTGGCATACAGAGCCAAAAGTATGAAAATTGTGCCTGTGTCCAAATATATATGAACCTAACTGTATATTTCTGAAATCATTCATAATTTACAGCATTTGTGCACACCTGACTAAAACGTTTGCACAGTAGTATATGTCAATGCATAATGCTGCATTTGATACAGAACAGTAGGAAGCCTAAATTGTTGTTGTGAAGTTTCACTGTGTCTTAATATGCACTTTGTCTGCACCAAGCACATTCTTCATTGCAGAATCTTAGATCTGCTTAGAAGCAGCTGAGGATCAGATTGCAGTCTCCTTCATTAATCTTTTGTGTCTGATCTCACTCATTAGAAGCAAATCTTTCTACTGTTTGGAAAACAGTGCATGGATTGGACTTTTCTGTGTCTTTAACCTGTGGAAGTACAAGTCCTCTTTCTAATATTATTTCTGCTGTTGCAGAGGGAGCGGGGAGCTGGCCTGAGCCATGCTCTGTGTGTCTTATGGTCACATAGGGGTTGCTGGGGAGTGAGCATGCATGAGTGCCCCCAGAGCAAGCAGCTTGCTCTGTCCGCACTCAGCAGGGGGGAGGAGCCAAGAGCACTGGCGGGGGACCTGAGAAGAAGAGATTTGGAGCTGCTCTGTGCAAAACCATTGCACAGAACAGGTAAGTATGACATGGTTGTTATTTAAAAAAAAAAAGCTGAACCTTTAGTATCACTTTAAGAAGAATTATGAAAGAAAAAGGGCAGAAATGTATGAGAATTTGTCTTATTTAGACTGTGCAATGCAAAACTGTCACTGATGAAGCATGCATTCATATAGAGCAGCTAGGCACTGCGCATGCAAAACTAGAAAGAACTTTTGAAAGCTTTAAGAGACTGTCTGAAAAATATTCTCTTTTATTAAATATCAACATAGAAGAGTCTTTGCGAGAGTTAATTAACTATACTTTTCTTAACAAAGAAAGATAAGTACCATTCTTGGAAGTCATGGGTAGATACAGTAACAAGATCTCACAACTGAAACTACATTCTGCCACTTTATGTCCTCCAATCACTCCATAGGATCGAGTCCCACTCACAGTGATCATCGCAACAATCCCACTCACAGCAGATAAGTAGCAGCAGAGTGACCCACTAATATTGGGACATGCGAAAGTAGAGCCAGCAAAGGCACACACTTGCTGTTTTAAGGTGGTTCGTATCCTCAGACATGAAATATGAACAAAGCATATCCTTCTATAGTGTGTACTAAGGGCACTTAGTGTCATTTCTGTTATCCACATGAATCACTTCTGACAAGTTTACCTGGCACCAAGAGAAAATAGGTGACAGGGAGAGATCTCCACCACACAACTTGTGATTGACAGCCCCTGGTCTGTTCCTGTATGTTGTGTGAAGGAGGGGAGGTGACCCTTCCCTTCCCTCCAATCAGCTTTCAGAGCTCTCCTCACTGAGCTCTGCAGTGTGAAAATTTAGCTCTCTGTTCCCTGTTTTCTGAATAGCTCAGACAAGCTGTATAAATTCTGGAATTTGAACTACTGTAGAGAAGAGAGAGAAGCATGCACATAAACAGGTACAACGTATGTAGGAATATTTGTTTCATCTCTGTGTATCACTTGGGGACAGTCACTTTACTGGGTATCTGTACGGGTTTACAACCACTTTAAGAGGGAAGTAACCATCAAAGCTGCCCAAGCTCATGCATAGAGGATTAAGTCCAGTGTCACATTTTGACAGTCTCTGATGACTCACAAGATGGAGCTTACATCTTATCCTAAGCCTGAACAATATCAACACATTTGCACAGGATGCTTCAAATCCTGTACATCAACCTACAGTACATTCACCTGCAGGAGAAGCTACAGCAATCAACAATACTGGTCAATATGGTGCATGAACCACTTCTGCATCTCCCAATTTATTAACATCCTATGCAGAAACTTACCCCCCATTACAGATACTACTGAGTCCAGTTTACCAGATCACCTCATAATCTTCAGAGACTGGTCAAATGGTTTTCAAGACCCACACCATGAGACTTCCAGATTCCAAACCTTCTCCTGGACTGACCCCATTTGCTAGTACATTCTCTACTCCGACATATAAACATCAGGTTTTAGATACCACTATCTCCAGCAACAGTAATGAAACACCTGTCACAACAAGGCCTGAAAGAACTGTGTCAGGAATGGACTCAGCACTGGTGGTGGGACTCACCTGCCGTGTGGGCTGCAGTACCAGAGCTGACCAGCGGGTGCTCTCAGCAGCCAGAAGCTCACACGTGCAATCAGCCAAACCTGGCGCTGATTGCAGAAAGGTGTATTTAAGGCATGACCAGGCCTGTGCTCTGGGCCTTGGTGTATGTTTTCCCATGAGCCTCTGTACCTGGTATCCTGTGTTCCTGCTTCGTTGCTGACTCGGCTTGATCCTGACCTCTGCTGACCGTCTCCTGTTGAACCCCTGGCTTGCCTGACCATCCTTCTGTCTGATCCCCTGTACCGCGCTGCCTGTGAGTTACTGAACGAACCCGGCTTGTGACCTTGACTATTCTCTGCCTGCTCCTTTGGTACCTTGCTGCCCGCACGTTGCTGACTTGGCCCGTCTGACCACGCTAACTACTCTGCCATCCATCCATCCTGCATGGATCCAGCTGTACCTGCACATACCTCTGGTGGATCCCTCTACCACTAGCAGGTGTACTCAGGGGCCGCGACCTGGTTCCTGTCTGCTCCAAGTCCATCCCCACCATCAGGGGCCCTGGTGAATAAGCAGGCTGGAACTTAGACTCCGCGCCCTGGGAAATCCTGTCCTGGGGACCACTAGAGGTACCACCAAACGGTCATTACAGAACCCTACGGCTGGCCTGACCGTTCCACCTCTCCAGCCTTGACTGCGCCTGTGTTCCTGCACCTACTAAGATTAGTGGAAGGTTGGTTTGTTGTGCGTTATATATATATATATATATATATATATATATATATATATATATATATCTGGGTGGCTAATAATAAACTGCATTATTATACTATACCTGAAACCTGCGTTTCCCTGTGTCAGTCAGTCCACACCTTTCTGGTCATTCCTAGATTCCTGACAAACTGTATGAACCTTGCTAAATACATAAGCCAGGGAGAACTTATTAATACAGGCCTTATGAAGTCCAACAATCACCAAAAGAACTATTGAAGCTGGAAATCAATGTTTCAGTCAGTAGCTGAAGACCTTAGCATGCCATCTATGCATGAACTTGGTCTGCTGATCAGATGGTTGGAAACTCAGTTGTAGAACTGTGCTAAGAGACTTGAGACTGTTCACATCCACAAAGTAGACAAAGACATTAATCTCACATGGTAGAGATGATCTAAAAATCGTTTTCAGGGAAAACCAGTGCTAAAAAAATATTTTGTGAAAGTGTATCGTCATGGACGACCAGGATGAGCTGTCATGATGTATGCTGCTTGGAGAAGTGTAGAAGTGGCTTGATGTATTTAAGGACTGTTTCAATTATCAAGACATATTATTTGTAGTATGCTGACATTTTGTGACAGTTAAGGATCACAATTACTACTACTAACCCCCACCCCCATTTAGTACTTGTTCGTTCAGTCCTAGCTAGACCCATCCTGTTTTTCTTCCATGTTCCCTCAGTCAGTATTATTTCTTCGCAGAGACAAGGCTTGGAAAAATCATTGTCTTCTTACACTTCAAAAGACTGAAAAGCATCCTCTGTGCTGCAATTACCTGAAGAAAATGGATTCAATTTTTGCATTTAATAAAGAGATTATATGTCTGTAAATGGTGCCAAGTCAGTTGGCTATCCTCTTCAGATGGACTTGGTCTAAGGAAGTGCGTCAATACACAAAGTTGCATTTGAAATAGAATATATGTGATGAAAGTCCCTAATGGAATTATCTACTGAACTAGAATTAGCCTGTGCATGAATCTATCTAATGTGTAAGGTAAAGTCTAGAGATGAGCGAATCGAACCAGGCGAACCGGAATTCGAGTCGAATTTCAGGAAATATTCGATTCGCGGCGAAACCGAAATTTTGCCTACTTCGGGTGCGCGAATCGAACATTTCCCGATCAGCCGGCAAAAGTGTCCCTGCAGTGAGCTCCGCTATTTCTGACAGTTCTCTGACAGAAGGAACACATGTTTAGCGGTTGAAACATTGTATCTATTAGTTTACATTTAGGATACAGATGTTTGAACCACTGTTCATGTGAAGAAGCTGTGAGAGAACTGTCAGAAATAGAGGAACTCTGCACATACACTTTTTGCCGGCTTGGAATTATTCTTCTTTTCTTAGTTTCCATTTAGGATACAGATGTTTCAACCGCTATGTACATGTGAAGAAGCTGTGAGAGAACTGTCAGAAATAGAGGAACTCTGCACATACACTTTTTGCCGGCTTGGAATTATTCTTCTTTTCATCCTACTTCTTCTTCTTCTTCTTCATCCTCATCCTCATCTCTTCTTCTGAGGATGAGGATGAGGATGAAGAAGAAGAAGAAGCAGTAGGATGAAAATAAGAATAATTCCAAGCCGGCAAAAAGTGTATGTGCAGAGTTCCTCTATTCTGCAGATACACTTAGAGGAGCTCTGCACATACACTTTTTGCCTGTTTGGAATTAATCTTATTTTCATCCTACTTCTTCTTCTTCTTCTTCTTCTTCTTTATCCTCATCCTCAGAAGAAGAAGAAGAGGATGAAGAAGAAGAAGAAGAAGTAGGATGAAAATAAGAATAATTGCAAGCCGGCAAAAAGTGTATGTGCAGAGTTCCTCTATTCTGCAGATACACTTAGAGGAGCTCTGCACATACACTTTTTGCCGGCTTGGAATTAATCTTATTTTCATCCTACTTCTTCTTCTTCTTCATCCTCATCCTCATCCTCAGAAGAAGAAGAAGAGGATGAGGATGAGGATGAAGAAGAAGAAGAAGAAAGAAGAAGATAGGATGAAAATAAGAATAATTTCCAAGCCGGAAAAAGTGTATGGCTGTATGGAAGGACAGTCCCAGAACTGTCATAAATAGTCTATTTCTGACAGTTCTATGACATTCCCCTCCATACAGCGGTTGAAACAGCTGTATGGAGTGAATGTCCCAGAACTGTCAGAAATAGACTATTTATGACAGTTCTGGGACATTCACTCCATACAGCGGTTAAGAAAACATTGTATCTATTTTTTTCATAAATGACATTCTGCAGATACACTTAGAGGAGCGCTGCAGATACAAATTTTTGCCGGCTTGGAATTATTCTTATTTTCATCCTACTTCTTCTTTTTCTTTCTTATGAGGATAAAGAAGAAGAAGTAGGATGAAAAATAGATTAATTCCAAGCCGGCAAAAAGTGTATCTGCAGCGCTCCTCTAAGTGTATTTGCAGAATGTCATTTATGGAAAAAATAGATACAATGTTTCAAAGCTGTATGGAAGGACAGTCCCAGAACTGTCATAAATAGTCTATTTCCGACAAGTTTCTGGACATTCACTCCATACAGCTGTTTCAAAACCGCTGTATGGAGGGAATGTCATAGAACTGTCAGAAATAGACTATTAATGACAGTTCTGGGACTGTCCTTCCATACAGCGGTTTGAAACATTGTATGTATTTGTTTTCCATAATGGACTCCATTTATGGAAAACAACAATATTTACAATGTTTTTTCAACGCTGATAATATGGGAAGGACAGTCCAGAACTTGTCATAATAGTCTATTTCTGACAGTTCCATGACATTCCCTCCATACAGCGGTTGAAACAGCTGTATGGAGTGAATGTCCCAGAACTGTCAGAAATAAATAGACTATTTCTGACAGTTCTGGGACAATCAACTCCATACAGCTTTAAATTTTCAAATAAACCGCTGTATTGGAGGGAATGGTCATGGAACTGTCAGAAAATAGGACTATTAATGACAGTTCTTGCCAGGACCTAAAATTTCCTTCCATACAGCGGGTTTTGAAACAAATTGTATGTATTTGTTTTCCATAAATGGATCATTTATTTGGAAAACAAATACATACTCAATGTTTAAAACGCTGTTTGGAAAAGGATCAGTACCCCCCCCAGATACCATATTCAGAAATAATCTATTTCTGATAGTTACTGGGACATACACTCCATTACAGCCTGTTTCTAACCGCTGTATGGAGGGAATGTTCATATAAACTGTCAGAAATTAGACTATTAATGACAGTTCTGGGACTGTCAATTCCATAGAGCGGTTGAAAAATTGTATCTATTTGTTTCCATTAAATGACATTCTGCAGATAACACATTAGAGGAGCGCTGCAGATACCCTTTTTGCCGGCTTGGATATTTATTCTTATTTACCATCCTACTTCTTCTTTTATCTCCATATTATGAGGTCCATGAACAAATGAAGAAAGAAGAAGTAGGATTATAAAAAAATAACAATTAATAAAAAACCCATTTCCAAGCCGAGGCAAAAAGTGTAATCTGCAGCGCTCCTCTGAGTTGTATAATGCAGAATGTCCAATAAATGAAAAAAAAATAGAAACACATGTTTCAACCTACTGCAATTGTATGGAAGGACAGTCCCAGAAACTGTGCATAATAGTGAGCGCCATGCAATACATTTCTGCCATTATTCTTGTCATTCTTTTTCTCATATACCAGATCCAGGAAAAAGAAGATGTTTACAAACCGCTGTATTCAAAAGGGAATGTCATTAGAAAACTGTCAGAAAATAGGACTAATATTAATGTGACAAGTTCTGGGAATGTCCTTCCCATAAGCGGTCATAAAACATTGTACATGTTCTTTGTTTCCATCAAAACAGCTGTTTCAAATTCCAGGGATTTTAAAATTGAATAACAGGAATACATTTAACAAGTTTGGGAATGTCTTCCATACAGCGGTTGAATCATTGTATGTATTTGTTTCCATAAATGGATCCATTAATTTATGGAAAACAAATAATACAATGTTTCAAACTCGCTGTATGGAAAAGGTCAGTCCCATGAACTGTCATTAATAGTCTATTTCTGACAGTTCTATGACATTTCCCTCCATACAGCGGTTAAAAACAGCTGATATGGAGTGAATGTCCCAGATACACTGTCGGAAATAGATATTTTGAAGAAGTTATGGGACTGTCCAATCATCCATAACAGAATAGAATTGGCAAATTCGTGTATATCTATTTTTTTCCATAAAAGTATCATTCTGCATAAATACACTTAGAGGAGCAGCTGCAGATACACTTTTTGCCGGCTTGGAATTAATCTTATTTTCATCCTACTTCTTCTTCTTCCCATCCCATCCTCATAAGAAGAAAAAGAAGAACGTAGGATGAAAATAAGAATAATTACCAAGCCGGCAAAAGTGTATCTGCAGCGCTACCTCTCTAATGTGTATCTGCAGAATGTCATTTATGAAAAAAATAGATACAAATGTTTCAAAACGCTGTATGGACCAGTGAAATGTCCAAAAAACTGTGTCATAAATAGTCTATTTCTCGGACAGTTCTGGGAACATTCACTCCAACAGCTGTTTTCAAACCGCTGTATGGAGGGAATGTCATAGAAAACTGTCAGAAATAGACTATTTATGACAGTTTCTGGGACTGTCCTTCCATACAGCGGTTGAAACATTGTAATGTTATTTTGTTTTTCCATAAATGGATCCATTATGTAGTCATGTATGGACGTGAATGTCCCCAGAACTGTCAGGAAATAGACTATTTCTGATCAGTTCTGGGACAATCACTCCCATACAGCTGTTTCAAAACGCTGTATGGAGGGAATGTCATGGAACTGTCAGAAATAGACTATTAATGAAAGTTCTGGACTGTCCTTCCACTTACAGCGGTTGAAAAATTGTATGTATTTTGTTTCCATAAATGGAACCATTAAGTAAGGATAAAATAATACATACATCTATGATTATCAACCGCTGTATGGAAGGAAAGTCCCAGAACTGTCATGAAATAGTCTATTTCTGACAGATTCTGGGAGTCATTCACTCCATACAGCTGTTTCAACCGTATGTAATGGAGGGAATGTCATAGAACTGTCAGAAAAGAAATAGAATTAATGACAGTTCTGGGACTGTCCTTCATAGAAGCGGTTGAAACTATTGTATCTATTTGTTTCCATAAATGGAGAATCCAATTTAATGGAAACAAATAGATAAATGTTTCAACCGCTCTATGGAAGACAGTCCCAGAACTGAACATTAATAGTCTATTTCTGACAGTTCTATGATCATTCCCTCCATACAGCGTTGTGTTGAAAACAGCTGTATGGAATAATTGTCCCAGAACTGTCGGAAATAAAAGACTAAATTTATGACATTCTGGGAAATTCGCACTCCATACAGCGGTTAAAATACACCCACTTCTCTCCACCACAACCATGTATCTATGTTTTTTCTGCCTCCAAAATGACATTCTGCAGATACACTTAGATAAAAGCGCTGCAGAAGATACACTTTTTGCCGGCTTGGAATTATTCTTATTTTCATCCTATACTTTCTTTTTCTTCTTATGTGGCTATGAGGATGAAGAAGAAGAAGTAGGATTGAAAATAAGATTAATCCGGAAGGCGCCGGCAAAAAGTGTACTGCCAGCGTCCCCAAACTGGTCTATTTAAGTGTATTTGCAGAATGTCATTCTATGGAAAAAATAGATTACAATACAGTTTTCAAAAACCGCTGTATGGAAGGACAGTCCCCCCAGAACTGTCATAAAATAGTCTATTTCCGACAGTTCTTGGGACATTCACTCCATACAGCTGTTTTCAACCGCTGTATGGAGGGGAATGTCAATAGAACTGTCAGAAATAGACTATTAATGACAGTTCTGGGACTGTCCTTCCATACAGCGGTTGAAACATTGTATGTATTTGTTTCCATAAATGGATCCATTTATGGAAACAAATACATACAATGTTTTCAACCGCTGCATGGAAGGACAGTCCCAGAACTTGTCATTAATAGTCTATTTCTGACAGTTCCATGACATTCCCTCCATACAGCGGTTGAAACAGCTGTATGGAGTGAATGTCCAGAACTGTCAGAAATAGACAGAAACTGTCACAGAAACTGTCCATCTTCTTCCTCATCTTCTTCTCATCCTTCTTCTCATCCTTCTTTCAACTTCGTTCTTCAATCTTCTTTCTTCTATCCTTCTCCTTCTTCTCATCCTTCTCCTTCTCCTTCTTCTCATCCTTCTCCTTCTCCTTCTTCTCATCCTTCTCCTTCTTCTCATCCTTCTCCTTCTCCTTCTTCTCATCCTTCTCCTTCTCCTTCTTCTCATCCTTCTCCTTCTCCTTCTTCTCATCCTTCTCCTTCTCCTTCTTCTCATCCTTCTCCTTCTCCTTCTTCTCATCCTTCTCCTTCTCCTTCTTCTCATCCTTCTCCTTCTCCATCTTCTCATCCTTCTCCTTCTTCTCATCCTTTTCCTTCTCCTTCTTCTCATTCCTTCTCCTTCTCCATCTTCTCATCCTTCTCCTTTTCCTTCTTCTCATCCTTCTCCTTCTGCTTTTCCTTCTCCTTCTCCTTCTCCTTCTTCTCATCCTTCTCCTTCTTCTCATCCTTCTCCTTCTTCTCATCCTTCTCCTTCTCCTTCTTCTCTCATCCTTCTCCTTCTTCTCATCCTTCTCCTTCTCCTCATCCTTCTCCTTCTTCTCATCCTTCTCCTTCTCCTTCTTCTCATCCTTCTCCTTCTCCTTCTTCTCATACCCCCTTCTCCTTCTCCATTTCTCATACCTTCTCCTTCTCCTTCTTCTCATCCTTCACCTTCTTCTCATCCTTCTCCTTCTCCTTCTTCTCATCCTTCTCCTTCTTCTCATCCTTCTCCTTCTCCTCATCCTTCTCCTCTTCTCCTTCTTCTCATCTTCTCCTTCTCCTTCTTCTCATCCTTCTCCTTCTCCTTCTTCTCTTCCTTCTCCTTCTTCTCATCCTTCTCCTTCTCCTTCTCCTTCTCTTTCCTCATCTCCAAGGGCATTTTAAATTAAAGGTACAGTGTTCTGCCACTAATTTAAAGGCTCTCTGAGCCTAGAAAACCCTTTTTATAAGTCATTCTTCGTAGCGAAGAAAAGTGAAATTCGCATCGAATCGAATTTCACACTGGAATTCGCCCGAATCAGCCGAATCGAATTTTTGAGAAATTCGCTCATCTCTAGTAAAGTCTACAGGCTTGGAAAATTGGTATTAAATGGATAGAAAAACTGGCTAAAAGAGATCATATTCAGAGAGCAAAGGTTAATGATTCATACTCTGAATGGTCTAGGGTTGTTAGTGATGTACCCCATGGTTCAGTGTTGGGGCCCTTACTTTTTAACCAGGTTGCTGCCCAGCCTATAGCCAGATGGCAGCCAACGTGGCGAACAGCTCGTCACTATCTCCGTGTGGGCGCCATATGGTGTCCTTTCCCGAACGCACATTGCGCATGCCTGCAGGGCTCTCTGCGCAAGTAGCGATGTCTGTCACCGTCCATGTACCTCGGACACGACCGATGATAGATCTGTGTACCGGCTCTGTTGCCAATACCATGTGACCTGCTGTGACCAATCACAGCAAGTCACATGACAGTTGTATAACAATGGATGGCTTCCTTTCATGCCATCCATTATATACAAGTGTGTCTAGCTGTGAATGTGTCACAGCGATCACATGCACAAGCTGGGCTAATCACAGCCCAGCTGTGTCATGTGATTAGTGGTGGCCAAAATTAACAACTAATCACAAAAAAAAACCTGAATAATTTGATTCCCATTCAGGTAAGAAATGCTTGCTTCTATAGCAAAACTAATTTATTTGCTTATAAGCAAATTGTGTAAAAAAAAAAAAAAATACTGATCAACTTCCCCAAAGTAGTACAATGTTACTATGGTATAGATTGAAAACAAATTATAATTTTTTTTTTCGTACTGCCACCAGTGTCCCTGATCACCACCATGCCAGTTATATGAAGACACTGTACTGCACTGTTGACAGTATGTAAAAAAAAAAAATAGTGAAAATCATTTTTTTTTAATTTCTCTTCATTTTCCGGTAAATTATGACAAAAAAAAATTTTCAACTTCAAAAAACTCGCCAACCACCAAAAGAAAGCTCTAGTTATATGAAGAAAATTATAAAATTTTAGTTTGGGTACAATGTTGTATGAACGCGCAATTGTCATTCAAAGTGTGAGAGCGCTGAAACCTGAAAATTGGCCTGGGCAGGAAGGGGGTAATAGTGCCCTGTATGGAAGTGGTTAACATATTTATAAATGATATAGGGTCTGGGATTCAAAATACTGTTTCAGCCTTTGCAGATGACACCAAGCCAGGGGCGGACTGACCATTTGGAAACTCGGGCACTGCCCGAGAGCCCGGGGTCAGTAGGAGGCCCCATGAAATGCCCTTGGCACCTTTTTCATAGGCTTTTTTGAGTTTGGGCAAGGACACAGGGGCCCCGTGATCCCCTATTGCCCGGGGGCCCCATGAGTTGTCAGTCCACCCCTGCACCAAGCTGTGCAGTGGAATAACTTCTTTACAGGATGTCTCCAACTTACAAGCCAACCTCAATGCACTGTTTAATTGGGCATCTATGTGGCAAATGAGGTTTAATGTTGATAAATGTATGGGTATGCACTTTGGGGCTAAGAATATGCATGCATCATACATACTAGGGGGGGTACAACTGGGGGAATCAATGGTGAAGAAGGATCTGGGGGGTTTGGTAGATCATAAGCTTAATAATGGCATGCAATGCCAAGCTGCGGTTTCTAAAGCAAGCAAAATCCCATAGGTATAGGCTCCAGAGAGAGATATCATTTTACCCCTGTACAAATCATTAGCAAGACCTCATCTGGAATATGCATTTCAGTTTTGGGCACCAATTCACAAAAAGAACATTGGGGAACTGGAGAAAGTACAGAGAAGGGCAACTAAACTGATAAGAGGCATGGAGGAGCTCAGCTATGAGGAAAGATTAGAGGAACTGAATTTATTCTCTCTTGAGAAGAAGAGATTAAGGGGGGATATGATCAACATGTATCAATACATCAGTGGTTCATATAGTGAACTCGGTGTAGAGTTATTCACCCTGAGGTCATCACAGAGGACAAGGGGGCACTCTTTACATCTGGAGGAAAAAAAATTGAATCTCCAAATACGGAAACATTTCTTCACAGTAAGAGCTGTGAACTGTGGAATAGACTCCCTCAAGAGTTTGTTCTGGCCAGCTCTGTGGATTGCTTTAAAATAGGCCTGGATTCTTTCTTGGATACACAGAATATAACTGGATACTAACATTTATAGGTAAAGTTGATCCAGGGAATATCAGATTGCCTCTAGGGGTTTTCCCCTGCAGGAACAAATTGCATCATGCTTTGCTGGGTATTTTGCCTTCCTCTGGATCAACTGTGGTTGTAGAATTATAACTTTTTTTTTAATGGTTGAAGTGGATGGACTTTTGTCTTTTTTCAACCAGACTAACTATGTACCTGTGTAAGCAGATTCTTGCAGTCCTCTGCATAGCAGCACAAATACTGAGAGAGGGAGGGGCAGCAGTGTGATGACTACAGTGCTGTCAGAGAACAAGCTTATAGGACATGAGAGCAGAGGGACAACCTCATCTGTGTTCTGCTGCTCCTTTATTGTGATGGGTCCTGGATCAGCCTTTATTGCTTAAACTGTTCTGTAGTGTGCAGGCAAGTCTTAGGGCCTTGCTCTACTAACTAGCAGGGGTGCCTGGTTTAGAAGCCTGGCTGAACACAATTACAAATTATTTGGCAAATAAATCAGCTCACATATGTGTATTTCAGGTGTGTATGGGCTGTTTGTATGGAGTCTTATCATGAAAAATATATCTGACCCTCAGTACTAGATTTAATTGGTATTTTTAAATCTGCTTGGAGTTCAGCGTTAAGATAATTTTAACTCATCTGTGGGTTTCTTTCTTATATATGTATACCTTTGAAATATTGATTAAATCCATCTTAACAGGATGCATCTAATTTAAAAGATAAGCCTTTGGAAACATCTGCTCCAAGAAATATGGACAGAACTATCTAAAATAAGTAAACTGGTCAATATTTGTGCTTATCCTATTAGTATAATTGCTGACAATACCCATTTTTTTCATCCAAGGTTCCCCTCTCACGGTCCTTTGTCTTTTTTAAAAAACCCCAGGCTTATTGTAGGCAATATCAAAATAACTAGCAGTCCATGAGAAAATCGATTAATTTATTAGAGGGGCATTGGGGAGTAACTCTGCTGATATGAAGCTCTGTAGCGCAATAACCCACACAAGAGGCAGACACATGAGTGCATTTCAATTTCCCTTGCCCTGCAGATAAATCCGCTGGCCTTTGTTTTATGAACTACTATTGATTTTTCATCCTTGTTGGGTCATTCCGACTACAATGCAATCCTTTTAGTTTGGTTTAAATAGGAATATTTATCACATACTGCAAGATGTCTAGTACCTTGCTGCAGAGAACAGATATCCAGCAAACTAGTTCTATTTAATAGCTATATTTCATCTAATAGCATTATTGTTATAACTACATTGCCCCCAGCCGCCTACCATTTGGAGGGACTGACCCTCTTTTTGAATCAAACCCCTTAATTCCTTTTTTAAATGCCCCTCTTTTAGGTATGGTATGCATAGTTTAGGGTAGACATTACAGTGGCAAGCTATAAAAATCTTGAAAGCCCATGAAGTTGCTGACTGAGGAAGGAGAACATCCCTAAAATGTGCCCCTAGCAGCAGACCCCTTTGACGCATGCAGGAAGTAGGCAGAGCTATAGACAGACAGAGAATGAGGACACAGACAGTGTCCTGGTTACCATTGCTGATTTGCAGAGTATATGCCACTGGCCATGAGCTGCTTTCCCTCCGAACTCCCTAATCTACAGATGAGCTCAGTGCATTTTATGTGCTATCACTAAAGCCTAAGTGCAACCACAATAAAAAACAGAACAATTACC